CCATTATTCAAGATATGATTGCATATAACTAAATAACTTTGGAGTAAATGAAACAGCGAACACAGACATTTGTATACAGATGTACAGGTTAGCGCATAAAGGCAAGGACAGTGGATTTGAATCAGTCAGTAATTTATTAGATTGCATTCCCATTTTATTTATAACAAGCTTTTATTTAATAGAATAAGAATAATACATGAATACACAGTCTTTTAGTTGCAAGAAGTAAGATTTTGCATAGTTATTTAAAGATACAACCATTTTTATAATCTTAAACATATTTTATATTAGTTGTATTCCTGGAGCAAATATGCATTAATTCTCTTACCTATTATTACGTCATTATAAAAATTTCATTTTATGTGTTGTTATTATATCAATTCTAGTTACTTACATCACATCTGATAATTAGTGCTATTATGTATATAACAGATATAAATACAATAGACGAATATAATAGATTAATATATATTTAGTATATAATGATTCAATATCATTTTTATGGGAAAAAAAGACACTTTTGACTGCACAGATTTTCTGGAAATCCCAAGTTAAACACATATGAAATCATTTGTTTACAATCACTGAACGTTAAAATCAGCTACCTGTCGCAATACAATAAAATAGCAACACAATTTCCTACAACAGGCAGCAGTTCCTCCGTTACATGAACAAGAAATTTTTTTTAAAAAATTTTATTTCTCCTTTTTAACAATGAAATATCCTTCTTTTTCATGCGATCAGGATGCTATAGAACTTATCCTTAAATAGGAAGTCAAAATTTGTAAATTGGATTTTTCAAGTAAAATTCCGTGCATTACCAAATAATCCACTTTTTAAAATTCTCTCTGCTTCAGTAATACAGCGAGAATTTATGCCTCCTTGAAGAAAATCAGACATTTCAGAAAAGCTAAGCAACTCCATTTTTGAATGTACAAAGTCAGATCACAAATCAAAATACCGGTTTTTATCCGCCACATTAATGTGTTAAAGTGCCACCTATAGATGAATTAAATCGCGGATACACAATCGCTAATTTGTTAGTGTTATGTAATGCATCATTTTATATAAACAAATGAACATGTTCTCGATGCTCTGGAATACTTTAATTTAATTAATTTATTTTAATTTTTATTTTTATTTTATTTTTTTATCGGTTATAGTGGAGTAGATGTTCTATCATTAGAGACTTTTTTATTACTCTTGGAGTTTTCCAGCATTGAGACGAATATTTTGTATGCTTAGCGAAAGGTGTTTTTTTTTTTTTTTTTTAACGGCAGAACGAAAGCATTATCTATCTTGTAGAAGATATACAAATGCTAAATGAGTCAAATTTGCTGAGTAAAATAGCAGCAGATATTATATTCCTATAACTAATGCAATGTTGTTGGACTTTGCATATACCCATGTTTCAAAGAATATCATACACTGTGTCATTTTGAAACATTGCTTACTTTTCATTGTTTGCTCGTTGAATTTTTATGAAAGACAGTTTTAATATTTTTTAATTTTAATTATGTGTTGTGTTAAATAAAATCTACGATCGTTTGGATATTTTTCCATACATATTTATTTGTGAGATAAGGGGAAATTATATTATTCTAGAATGAATATTTTATAAAATTTTTAAGGAAAATATAATAATAAAGGCTTAAAATTAATTCTGATGACGAACGCTCTTCTCATAATGTACCCAAAACTGGAAGACACATTTCATTTTATAAGAATTTTTTTCCAAAGTTAGGCTTAGCAGTAAATTGCCCGTTCCCACAGGACGACACATCCGGTTAACGCGTCGTTCCAAGAGAATGCTTCAGTAACAGAGGTGCCCATCGCGAACGGGCTAATCGAAGCATCCTTAATAACCACTCGCTAATGGTCTCCAGAAACCAAAGGGACAGAGACCAGAAGTTATCTCTCTTCTTACCAGTCTGTCACATAGCTGTCCAAGAGATCATTGATTAATCCTCTTCCCTGATGCTCTTTAGTTGTAACCTTCATCTGCCTTGTGATCTGTTGTTTAGTCATTCTCCGGGTGCACTTTCATTGCTTGAGGAGTACATTCAAGATCTCCAGGCCGATTTGAATTGATGCACTGCTTTGCACGAAGCGAGTGAACTTGGCGGAAGGTTCGACACGATACAACAACTACAGGACATGAATTCAATGAAGGTGAAAAAGAGTGGTTATGGAATCTGATTTAATGGAAAGAGCTTTCTTTAAAACTACAGTTATTCTGTGATGATTCTTACGCAGTCTTAAACAAGCTAAACGACCCCATAGTACGGATCCGCAAGTCATCACATTCTAAGCCTAAAATCGTTAATATTTTTCATCTTGCCTGCTTCCAAAAATTCCTAATGTCTCTACAGTGGTGCCCGAACTAAAAGGGTGTTGGATGATGATTCTCCTCACCTAGGATTTGGCGATTGGGTCCCCTAAAAATCCCAGTCACCCTTTAAAAGGGGGAGTATATAAGGTATTTCTCCTACCTTCTTAGCGAACTTTCACGGTGTAGTTGTCTGCACGCTCAGTGCGTAATTGAGAGGTCCGTGGTTCGATTCCAGGCAAAGGCATTGCTAATTTTTCATCTTGCCTGCTTCCAAATATTCCTAATGTCTCTATAGTCTATATAATGTAAATAGTATACTAAGACCTTGGTCTTATTTGCACATAAATTCAGGAATTTATTGAAATTATTTTTTAGTATAGCTTTGATTTTGCTTAGTTGTTAAGTATGGCTTGCTGTCCAGGTATTGTACTGGCCGAGATGTGTAGCCCTTGGGAAGAAGGCAATGTTATGAATTTTGTACAACGTAACATGAACGGCCTCAAGAAAGCGAAATTTTGCCGAAAATATAGGATTATTAGGGTTGAATCTATTTCACATTGAGGTAAATAGCAATCTCGCTAAATTGGCGACATATCGCCAAACTGGTGGTTGTTTCGGTGCCTAATTTGCCAGAAATTGCCAAAAGTTGCAAACATTTGGGTTTTGAACCTGCATAACTATAATTGGCCTACATGTCTATGTAACTGCATCCGGGCCTTATATGCAGCTGTTATCGTATATGCCTTCCTACAATTTCGAGAAATGAAAAGTACTGAAAATTTCTACGTGGCCGGGGAAAAAGACTTTATAAAAGACTGAAGCCTGTTGTCTTATATAGTTCTCAATTTTTAGTTCAGAGACATTGGCAACATTTTGATCTAGTCCCTGTATAACTATAATTGGTACTGTAATTAAATAACTGTAATAGATTCCTGTATGTAACTCTAACCATACATGCTTTCTAGTAATTTCAAAAAATGGAATGTACTAGGGATTTCTCGGTGGCTGAAGTAAAATTATATAAGCGAGAAGAGAGTATCAGTTCTCAGTTGCTACTTCAGAGTATTAAGATCTCCATGTGAGCTTCGTTCTTTAGATGCACTATGCACTGCATTCTGCTTAACATTCTTAATAGCTGTGGGAATACTTCTGTGAAAAGTTTCAGAACTGTAAAGTGTTTTGTAAAGCATTGAGAAAATAAATTTTATCAAGCTACCATTGGTTATATGTGCTTTCAATCCATCATAAAACCCCATACGCACATAACAATACATTTCGGGCTCTCATAATAAATTAATCATGAAAAATAACAAAGAAACTAGTTGCAAATTGTTCAGAAAAGGAATCCCATGAAACGATGTTAACTCATTGTCATTTTAGATCTTACATAAAAACTTTAAGAATAGTTATATAATATTTTAATGAAATTCTATTTCAACATCAGAAATATTTTGTATTAATTACTATTACAAAGACTGCATGGACTAAAGAGTGTTTAATTCCTTATATATTTGATGAATCATAGCAGATATCCTACGCTTAAAAATATTTGTAAAAAGTGCTTGTGAAGCAGTTTTATTTGAAATATAAAAGAATATTACTTTGTCATCTTCAAAGTATTATTCAGTGGAAGACACACACACATAGTGCTTTTCCATGCCCAAAGGCATAATGCTTCATTCATACAATGACTTTTCAGTCATGCTGTTGTGACTAATCTTTCGTCTGACCTAATCAGAACAAGCCCTCAAATTTTGCCATGGACAGGAGTATAAGATTGCATCTGTTGTTGACAACAGCTTAGATATCATATAGTATGATTTTGCCCATTTCCACTCCAGTTTTGAGGCAGAACATACAAAAGGGTGGCCTGAGAGTCTCCCATTCCTTTTTCTCTACAACCAAACAAGATGAGAGACCTTTTGGCTTTTATATATATAGAATGCCCCATGCTGCAAAGACACTATACATTTACAACATCCATACCTTCTCCGGGATTTGATACCAGGCACTCGGTATGGCATTCAGAGTCACTAATTACTATCCTGTTGGGTGCTTTTCCACCATATGAGGTATAAGCCAAGCTTCGTTACTAAGCAGCCACACCTTGTTACATTACAAAAAATAATATAAGGATTTTGCCTAAATGTTCTAATTTTTTAACTTTATGCCCACTTGGTATAAATAAGAACCAACCAGTCACAGTGAAGCAAACATGAACTGATATTCAGTTGACAGTTTTGCAGAGTGAGCTGCACATTTATGCATGAATAAACTAACTTCCCTGAATGGCTATATCTTAAAATCTGTTACACAGGTGTGAATGGACTTAATGATATCTACACCTTAGGCCACAAAGCTTCATAATTGGAAATCCTTTGTCTGAACGAAGCCTTAGAAAAATGTCTCTTTTGGTATTTGTTGTAGATTGGTCATTGTGCTACTTTTAATAGCTTGAGCTATCAGAAAATATTAATCCCCATAGACCTGTCTTTACAAGACAGAATAGCCTGCAGTAATGAGGATGAAAGATGTGGGGAAAATATTGTTATGCATAATAGGAATTTATTGCTGCTTTAGTTTCTTAACTGACAAGCCCTTGTAAAGAGGAGTGTTGTTAAAGAATACTTTCATCAAGACTGTACCACAAATTATTCTATATTGAAGATCCACATAATGTTGTTTAATATATTATTCTTACCTGAGTACAATAATGTTTTCTGACAGCTGGAATTTCAAATTTTACAAATTTCACTATGTGAACATGCCTTTTCATGAATATTTTAAACATAGATGTATATACATTAGAATATGTACATCACTAGATAAAATATGATATTTTACAATACCAAAGAAATATACAAAAATATATTTATTTTAGATAAAACTATGTGCAAAAATACTTTTTTTTAACAATATCAGAATGTCAACACTATATTTACACATTTTGATACATGAGAGGATGGTAAAATTTCAACTTAAAATGTTCATCAGGTTACTCCAGTTTTTATATCCTTCACTCTCATATAAAGTTCCGTCATTAAATCTTTAGTTGTGAAATCAACAACATCATTACACCACACAGAATTGAAATTTTCTTTTCGTCGATCTACAAGATAAAAGAAAAAAATTCTTTCTTAATATTTTCAATAAAATGTAATTAAAATATAAATGATAACAATGAATAATTAAATTTTTCTATTTTATTAAATATAAGATTTCTTCAAATACCAATGATAAAACGGTAATCAGGCTCCCATTTTTTTTAATAGTGTGAAAATATATTGCTAATAGTTGTCAAACGGCCTGCAGTTCTAATCTTGATCACTTACAATCCACTAATCAGTAGAAGAACTCTGAGTAGACAACACTCTTTTTGGTGTTAATGGTAAACACTCCTTTCAGTATAGTCCATTAACAAGAAGGATAACAGTATGGCAGCCACAAACTTGGTATGGATTAATGTTAGTTTAATAATTCATAAAATTGCATGGGATTAGTTTGAAAGAACGAATTCATTTTCAAAAGCTGATAGCATGGTCTCTCCTTCTTGGAAGTAAAGTAATCTGTATAATTACCTGGAATAAGAAAACTTATTCCTGAATGAGAAAGATTTTATGTTTTCAATATACTACAGACTTCTACAATTTTTGATGAATAATATTAGAATACAACCAAATTAAAATTAATATAAATAGCTAGGACTTAAAATCAGTTCAAATGCGAGCACTTAAATTTCTGATGCTAATATTCTTCAATGCAATGGCTTATGACCATCACATTCCTATCAGCTGGTGATCACAGATTTTCACTCCAGTTGTCATGAACTGCTTTTGTCATATGGACATGTTGAACATTGGTGAACCAGCATCATATACGATCATGTTCACTCAAGCTCATCACTCAAGAATTCACTCAAGCTCATTCAAAAGATCAGGCTCACTCAAGAGTTCCACATAATGAAACAACATTATGTGGAGCTTCAATACAGAATAATTTGTAGTACAGTCTAGGTGAAAGTATTCTCTAACAACACTCAAGAGTAAGCTGCACACAGTTCTTATGACCTGTGGTCAACCTCCCACAAATAATCAACGCTGAAATCTTTGCCACATTTGATAATCAAGTTATCAATCATATAAACTACTACGTTGTAAAAATGTCAGCAAACATTTCATATCATCAATGCATTACAAAGTAACAAAAGTTAAGATAACTGATACCTTTGATACCTAGGAAGAAAAACACATGAACATTAATGTTAAATAATAAAAACATTAAATTTTTTTAAAAGGTTGAATTTTGGAAAAAAGGATTCGTTTAAATACTTTTATCATCTAGAGATAATTAAAGGTAAAATATTTTAGAGCTCTGGATCTATCTATTTCTATGCTGTACAATACATACACATGCACAGGTAAATTATTTTTCTTTATTGTAGATATATTATTTGAAATCAGATTTAAAAAAAACTTTGGCAAATTTTAAATATACTAAAATTTATTCACACCCTTAGGCAACTGCATCCAAAAGTAACCAGTATTTCTAAGAAAATAATGAAATAGTGGTGACAGAGCATCACTGATAGTTACATTCTCTAAGGTTACCCTCTTCACAGATAACTAAAATTATCTTTATCTGTAAATTGTCTTTTTAGTTCCCTTTATATTCATAAATGCAAAGTGTCAATACAGTCAAAAGTCGTTAATTCGGACACCCATAATTCGGAATGATCTATAATCCGGACATCAAAACTAAAAACTTTCTGCGCATGCGCCACGTTGACACATGCGCAGAGGCGTTCACGCGTGTGCGTAGACCTTTTACGACTGCGCATATGAGTGTGCACAAGTGCAGAATACGTTTTCGCGTGCGCATTTTATGTATAATGGACGTATAAGCTAAAATTATCTAATTATCTATTTCAGTTAATGTTGATGATTGCGTTGTTCCTTAATTTTCGAAATGCATCCGGCTTATTATTTTTTGCAGACTGTAAGAGCAATTTTATAAAAGTAAGCTTAAACTTTCGATTATATCAAATAGAATTTCCGATATATATTTGTTAGTATGTAAAGGATCTAAAGCGAAAGTATGTTTTGAAATCCGAAATCTGTTTATCAATTTCACGTTGCTCGGCGGCGGGCGCCTAATGAATTGGAATTTGATTTGTCAGCACTATCCTTATCTTCAGCGCAGATGTTTTTATTTTATTTGGCTTATAATTCCTTACCAAACGTAGTATTTCATCTCGATATGCTCCGTCTTTGATATGATTTAAAACAAGTTCCTCGTCATTATAATTCGCTTCCGATAGCGAAGAAAAGTGACAGAGGTTATTGAAAATAAAAAAATTTCGATTGACAAATTAGTCGGTGTTTTTGACACAGCAATTATAGGACTTGAACGGCGGAACTTTGTAACTGAACAAGAAATTATGTCTTTTAATAGAATTAAATAGAAAGTATTATCACATGAAACGAAGCAAAACTTAAACAACTTACATTGAAAGAAATGTTTAATAAAGTAAACAAATAAATATTAAGCTTTTTCTTTTTGCAAATTTTGATACCCTTTAGATCATAATTGTTCTTTATTTCATAAATTACGGTTTCACATTTTTAATTTTAGAATTTCTGCATGCCATCTTACGAGATTTAAACTGATGATCTATAATCCGGAATCGCCGAAGTCCCGACGAGTCCGGATTAACGACTTTTGACTGTATAATCAAAAGAAAGAATTAATCACTATGTGAAAAGACAAAATGCGATTGGAATAAAATACTTAACTTTATCATATGGGGAAAAGGAGACAGTGCAGATAATTTTATAGGTAAAATAATTAAATATATTTTTATATTATTTTATTATATTATATTTTATAGTAAAATAATTAATATATTATTTTACTTCATTTAGAAAATAAAACTGCCTAATACAGTCAAAAGTCGTTAATTCGGAATGATCTATAATCCGGACCTCAAAGCTAAAAACTTTCTGCGCAGCGCCGCGTTGACACATGCGCATAGACGTTTACGCGTGCGTGTAAGACCTTTATGACTGCGCTTATGCATGTGCGCGAGTGCAGAATACGTTTTCGCGTGCGCGTTTAATGTATAACGGATGGCATAAGCTAAAATTATCTAATTATCTATTTCAGTTAATGTTGATGATTGTGTTGTTCCTTAATCTTCGAACTGGATCTGGCTTATTACTTTTTTCAGACTGTAAGAGCAATTTTATAAAAGTAAACTTTCAATTATGTCAAATAGAATTTCCGATGCTGGAGCTCTCAAAGGATCAACAAAACGAAAGTATGTTTCGATATCCATCAAACAAAAAGTGGAATTGCTGCAAAAAATGGATAAAGACATGAAGACGGTGACAGAGAGTTTAGTGAAAACGAAAAAATTTCAATTGACAAGTTAGTCAGTATTCTCGGCACAGCAATTAATGGGACTTGAACAGCAGAACTTTGTAACTGAACAAGAAATTATGTCTGTTTATAGAATTAAAGAGAAAGTATTATCACATAAAATGAAGCAACTTAAACAACTTACATTGAAAGAACTGTTTAATAAAGTAAACAAATAAATATTAAGTTTTTTTTTTTTTTTTTTTGTAAATTTTGATACCCTTTAGATCATAATGTTCTTATTTCTAAATTACGGTTTCATATTTTTAATTGAGAATTTCTGCATGCCATCTTACGGATTTAAACTGATGATCTATAATCCGGAAAAATCGATAATCCGGAATCGCCGAAGTCCCGACGAGTCCAGATTAACGACTTTTGACTGTAATAACACAATAACAATAATAACACAATATAAATAAAAAGACTTCAACTTAATTTATTAAGTGACAAGTTTCCACTTAAATAGAAAGTAACTTCATTTTAAATAATACATTCCTCAAATCTGATTGATTGATCATTGAGGAATTACAAATATGAAGCAAATTGAGATGCTTAACAAATAAAAATTATTTTTTATTAATGAAGTAATTTATATTTATAATAAACAAAAAATAATAGGAAAAATATCATTTGGTCCCATATAAAAAGCATGTTGTACATTTTGCACACAAATTACGTACTTTTAAAGATTTTAAGGACCATAATGAAAAAAAAATTAAGGATCATGAAAAAAAATGGGAATAAATAAATTCAATTAAAAAATATTATTCCATGCTAAATTCACTTTGGAATATATCCTAAAAATAAAATAGATCCCTAAATAGTATGCATTATTACTACACATGAATTAACATAATTATTAATAAGTTTGAGAATAAAATAAACTTCATGCAGTTTATCAAGTAGCATTAAATATTTTACACTTATAATAGGTTGGACATATTATAAGTAAGGACATAATATATGAAAGAAGATAAGTGACATTTACATTTTACTAATAGTTAGCTTTATGTTGATTTTTTTTTTATGTTCTCATTTTGTCACATACTTGGTCAGTCTCAAGCAGAGGTTCTCAACTGATGGTACGCTAGAAAAAATAGGTGGTACACAGAAGCAAAGTATTTTTAACTATTTATTTCAAAAATTAAAACCCCAACATTCTGATTGTTTTTTTTTTTTTTCTCTAGCACTCGTAAATTTATGCAATCTGAGTTTTGTTCACGAGTGGTGGTGGAAGTAGTACTTTGTAGTGGTCATATTAAAGGTTCTCAATTTTTGCTTAGATGGTACATGTTAGTCAAAAGGTTAAGAACTGCTGGTCTAGAGGTTTAGTAAATAGTAGGTTGATTTTATGTCAAACGGCGTAGGTTAAAATGAGAAGTAAGATCATAATCAGCACGGTTCATAACAAAAGGCTGAATGTTATCACTGCTGCTGCTTGTCTAGAGAAAAAGACCTGCTGATTAGAACAAACCTGAAAGGCCTGGTGTAGGCACGGTTGGCAAGTGTTGAAAGTTAGGCTCTGTTTGATGCAGTTAGTGTCATAGCTTTGTGTAGAGTTCCAAGGGTTGTAACCCAGTTAATATACACTCATGTCCTATTTACAAAAAACCAATATTACATGGTTTATGATTTTTAATACATTGTATGCCTCCCAGATGAAGCAATACAGTCCGTACAACGCCTAAGCATCCTGAGTATCAAATTATGGATCTTATCTTGGGGAATATTACACCACTCAAAAAGCAATGCTCTCCGAAATTCTGGTAGACATGTAGGAGGAGGTTGACGGGATGAAACTCGTCGGCCAAGCATATCCCACAGTGCTCTACTGACTCAAGTACGGTGAAGAATGCTGGCCAGTCCATACGGGTGATATTCTCTGATTGAAGGCATTCGCTTACGATTTGCACGGTTGAGGACTGGCGTTGTGATCAAAACAATTGTGCCACATGGTGCCCCGAAACAAACGTACATGTTGTTCCAGAATGACGTCTGATAGATTTGGCTGTCATGGTTCCAATTTGAACATGCAGGTCAGTTCTGGAACCCAGAATAATTCCACTAATTAATTGGGTTGTAACCCAATTAAAATACATTCTGATTCCAATAAGCCATTAAAGTACCAGAGGGGATAAGTTGTTTTGTATTATTTTTAAGTCTCACTAGATGCAAAGAATAAGTTTAATTTGAATTTCTACATTTTTGTGTTTTATCTTGTGACCACAGTCAGTATTAATGAAAGGCAATAACTAGCTTTAATATGTAAAGATAAATTTTAAGGGTAAGCAGTTAGTTATAAATAATTAAATTAGGTAAATAGGTTACCTTAATTATTATGGATTTACATGGCCATTATTAAATTTTATTTGTAACAATATTTAAATTTTTAAAAAAAATTTTTGATTTTAATAGGGGTTTTTATATTTAACAATAGAATAATAAAATTTCACAGTTTAAAATACATGTAATTCATGACACTAATTTTGAAATGAAATTAGAATAATTACACATTAAAAGCTACAAAACATTTATGTTTTGTAACAACAACACTCAACAAAATTTTTATTCGTCATTTTAATTTGAAGCCTTCCAAACATTTTGGCAAGTTTATATTGATTTCCTTCTGAAGCATCTTTTCTAACAATAATTAGAGGTTTGTCTCAATATGCAAACCAATGCTCTCACTAGTTTCTGCATGCTTTATCTCCTAACTTGTCAACCTCTCTACAATGTACTTATGAGGGTTTACTTGATCTGGTAAAAGTTAAATAGTCCAAAAGCCTTCGATAGACGTGAAATAAATCTGTAAGTGAATGAATTATTACTAAATATGAATTAATTAACAAAATTATTAATAAGTTTGAGAATAAAATCAACGTTATAAAATGTATCAAGTAGCATTAAATATTTTACACTTATAATAGTTGGACATATTTGAAAGAAGATAAGTGACATTTAATTTATGTTTTACTAACAGTTAGCTTTATGCTGATTTTTTTTTTAAATTTTTCATTTTTGTCACATACTTGCTCAGTCTAGAGGTTTAGTAAATAACAAGTAGATTTTATGTATTAGCATAGATTAAAATGAGCATAGATTAAAATGAGAAGTAAGATCATAATCAGCATGATTCATAACACAAGACTGGATGTTGTCACACCTGCTACTTGCCTACACAGAGACCTGCTGATTAGAAGAAACCTGAAAGGCTTGATGCAGGCATGAATGGCAAGTTTTGAAAGTTAGTTGGGCTCTGTCTGACGCAGTTAGAGTTGTAGCTTCATGTAGAATTCCAGGGATTGAATCCCGTTAATATACTTTAAAGTTCCAATAAGCCACGAAAGCACCACAGGTGATAAGTTGTTTTGCATTATTTTAAGACTCATTAGATGTGAAGAATAAGTTTTACATGAATTCTTACATTTTTGTGTTTTATTTTGTGACCACGGTAAGGATTATTGAAAGGCAATAACTCACTTTAATATGCAGAGATAATTTTTAAGGGTAAGCAGTTAGTTATAAATAATTGAATTAGGTAGTTAGATAATCCTTAGTCATTATAGATTTACACGGCCACTATAAAATTTTATTTATTTTTTAACAACATTTGTTGAAAAAGGCCCTATTAAAATCACAATCTAATAAAATTTCACAGTTTAAAATACACATAATTTATGACATTAATTCTTAAACGATATTAGAATAATTATACATGAAAGCTACATAGAAATTGATCTTACAATTGCCCAAAATGTTGACAAGTCGCCAAATTTAGAAATGTTTAATAAAAGAATTCATACCCCAAAAGCGGAAATTGTTTAAGAGCTCTTTATTATAAAAAATAAATTTTGAAATGCTTATGTTTCACTTCTTGCTTAGAAACTCAAGTATCCCATGATTTATATTAGAAATAGAAACAAATTATAACCAATGAACCCACTTAAATGATAACCATATACATCAGTCAATCGCCAAAAATACTCCTCCAAAATGCTAATTCACACACAAGATGGCAGTCGTAAAAAAAAAAAGACAGAAATCTCAAATGATTAAAATTAAGGACCTTCTGCCGATTTTGGCCAAAATTAAGAAATTTTAAGGACCAAAAATCTTTTCCAAAAAAAAAAAAAAAAAAAAAAAAAAAGGAGTTCTAAGGACTTTTAAGGGCTGTACGAACCCTGAACTAAAAAATTCACAAATGTATTTTTATTTTCAGCAAATTCAAAAAGTTTCCAAACTTTACTTTTTTTAATATACTTTTTAACCACTTGTGCTAAAAAGACGTGCCATGCATGTCGAGATGCTTTTGTCTCAAACTGCGCGCAAAAATGAAAAAATTGCAGTCGCAGACGCAGAGCGGCGTAAATGAGACACTCTACCGCTTGTTATATTGTAGTGCACGGCACCGCAACCATGAAGTTTAGTTGTAGCGCAAGTGGTTAAGGTGAAAAAAACTTTATTAGATTAAAAATTATATTAAAATTATTAAAAATATTATCAGCTTGTGAATAAATCATTTTTAATATTAAACATCAAAAACATTTTTACCATTCATTGGAAAAGTTTCACAATTTAGAAAAATTTGTCTACAGAGCAACTTGCTTGAGCAATAAGCACAAAATACTTGATTAATAAATGGTAGCAACAGTATTTGTTCTTCAGGCATTTTCTAAAAAGAAAAATGATAGTATGTTTGTATAAACTGTTAAAAATATTTTGTACATTTTAAAAATAAAACAGAAACTGCATATGAATTTCACTATCTTTTCTTTTTATAAATATAAAAATACATTTAAATTAACATTTGAAATAAAATATAGTCATATGTTAAAAATAAGTCAATCTAGTTAAGTCTGATTCTTACATTATGATATTTTATTATGTTCTGTTCTTGTTCTACAAATGAAACAAAAATATCCCATTTGTCTCCTTCTAACATCAATATTTTTTTAGCAGTTTTATCACTACAGTGGGCATGCATTTCTTTTGATCCATCATCAATAAGCATACTGAAAAACAAAAAGCAAGAGTCAATGAATGAATTTTAGTGACACCATATCTTTCACAGAACAAATAAAATTTACTTACATTCTATAGGGGCAGAAGAGGGAAAAAGTCAAAGAAAAATAAAAAAATATATGAAAAAAAATATGAAATTGAAATATGAAAAAAAATTATTGAACATTTTAACATTAATATTGATAATTTTATTACTTTAAAAGTTTTGTTTTTCAGTCAGATTTTTTTAGACTATATATTGCTTCATTAGGAATAAATAATACAATGGCATAATATATAATAATAGCTCACTATAATACATAAATAATACAATAGCTCACTTTCGGCTCAAAATCTGGAAAAGTTACTAGGTTTGGTTGGTTTGGTTTATTTAATTATGGCAGAACACACTAGGGCTATCTGCCTAAGGGGAGGGATGCCTTCGTGGAGGACTTTCTAAGGGAAACTGGTTCGTATACATGTTACACATGGGGAAACCATGAAAATGCAGCTAGCTTGTTTGCGGGATTCAAACCTTGGACCGAACTACCAGTGTTCAGCGACTTTACCCAGGGTTCATAGCCACATTTTAGTTAAAAAAAGAAGCACCTATAAGCACTTTTCAAGCACACTTTAAGAAAAAAATAAGCACCTGTCTAATTACATTATACACAACTGCATAACCTTAAAAATTAGACTTGTAATTTAAAATACGAGAAATGCAGTATTTATTAAGAGAGAATAAGCATTACCTCAACCATGGAAAATAATTACTTTTTTTTATATGTTTAACCTTTTGAAGACGGGATGGCCATTATAGTGGCCATAGAGTCCTCTCTTTCAAAAGACGGGGTTGCCCACTTTAGTGGCCATGTCCTTTTTCCCCATTTTCCAGGCTGAAAAGTTGGGTGAAATGTCAAATTTGACGTCCCTGGGGTTTTAACCACTTATCTCTTTCAAAGGTCTTCCTTTTGCGACATAGATGCACCCCTCTGAGATTCCATTAAACTACACACAAGAATCTCTGTTGCAAATAGGAGGTGATTTCTAAAAGGGGGAAAAGCACTCGGTTCAAGATTCCCCGTCGTTTGATAGCTTTTACTGCTACCAAAGCCCCGGCATCAAAAAGGTTAAATAACAGTTCAATTTACAGAACTAGTTTACAATGCGAGGAAAAAAAACTATGCAGAGCTAAACTGTATTACACAAGATTTAATGATGAAATTTCAGTTCAAAATAGAGAAAATAAATAATAATAAGGCATATTTATTGTATTCGCTTGGAACCTAATAATAAATACAATTTATTTTCCCACTCATATTGATATTTAAATAATTTAAATCTAAATTCTGAACATTTTCTAAATTTTCATTGTATATCAGTTTTCTCTTAACAGATATTGCAAGCAAAATAATTTAAGTAAAAAAGAGGAACATTTCTGAAATCAGAAATGTTTGGAGACTGTAGCCGCTCTTTAAATTTTTCCGCTAAATAAATGCGTTTGACATTTCGATATGTGCATCATATAAAAAAAACTCTTTTAGGTGTTGATAAACAAATCTTGGACAGAACATCAAAATTAACTATCTCTGCAAAATATCGCAAATGTTATTGCGCAACATGCGCGCCGTAATTCCTCCCTACGTGATGTTACGCAATCGGAATCAACAGATGCTGGTATTGGAAGAATAAAAAACTAAATAACTGGGGTGTTTTTCTTTCTAATTTTCAACAGACGGCGTTAAATTTCCGGAATAGAATCATTCTTCGCTTGGGTTGGTAGACCGCAGAACTTTTAGTCCTATTCAATCCAGATTGGAAAGTGACAAAAAAAAAAAGTCCGTTACTTGTTTTGCAGCGAACTGTAACAGTTTCAATATGCGAGATTTTGCGGAGGAAGGGGAGAACCTCCCAATCTTCGTACTGTATAATATATTGGCCAAAAAAATGAAATTATTTTGACTATTCGATTACTTTCCCTTTATTTAAGCCATTCCGAATATTATTCCTTAGAAAGTTAATCTGCGTTAAAACACAACCATTTTTGGAAGTTTACTATACTTCAGCAGTTACTGCAACTATGTTATCATAAACATTTATACATATGCTCATAATATAAGCATAACGATCATAACAAACACGAATATGAACTGACCAAGCGGAACAAGAATGTTAATTATTAAGATCTTGATAGAAATTCAAACTAGTATAATATTTGGGTGGGAGGAAAAGAATGCCGAATGTACCGGAATTTTCTACTGCTTTCGCAATTCTTTGACCAATAGAATGACGGGCACCTGTCTGTACTCTTTGTGCACAGCAAAGGTTATGTTAATGCAGAGAAAGGGGGAAAAGCTATTTCCGAGAGTATGATTCACCATCTGACATTCCATATTAGTAAGAAAAGTTGTTTATTTAGTTTCGGCTTTGGTACAGGGAAAAATAGTACGTTCATTTAAAAAAAAAGCACTAAAAGCAAAAAATAAGCACTAAAAACAAAAAAATAAGAGCTTTAAAAAACAAGTAAGCACCTATAAAGACCTTTATATTTTATTTTGAAATTATAAGGACCGCTACGAACCCTGTTTACCGCTCGACTACTGATGGGCCCGGAAAAATTTAATAGGGGAAATCCATGTAGATGTCACAACGTATTCATTTATGAGGAAAAAATAGCAAAGTTCGAATTTTATGAAGCAGATGGCATATTTTATAGATGCATATAACAAAATATACTTTGAAATGAAATGTAATCACATTCTATTAGATCTGGCACTCAGTAAAAAAACAAAATAAAAACGAAGGTAGACCTTTCAGCAAAAAATATGAAGCAGTAAGGGAAAAACCACTTTGGAAGAAAACACAGGTGTTGGACAATGAAATTGAATAAAAATATAATACTCCATATTTGTTCAAATGTTTTCAATAAATCCAGTTGGAAATCTTGAATGGTTTCAAAACAGCATGGGAGAAGCTTGAATTTTTAATGATATTCGGAACACTGATTTCAGACATGAAGAATTATAATATGTATATGGAAGACATATTGGAGTTCAATAGCTAAGTGCTTGTTTGGCTGGTCTGTGTATTAGTGATTATTCATATTATGACTGAACATTCTAACAAAATTCTCTAACATATTTTTACAAAATCTGCTCTAAGAAACTTCACAGAATTAATATTCATTGTTGAACAGCTATAGCAAAACCATTAATAATCATCTCTCATGATAAACACTGGTTTCAGTACTGTCAGAAGGACAAAACTTAAACACTACACAATACAGAATGTGTTTCGTTCAGAATGAGTCTTCCTAGTCTTTCTCACTTCATGAAGAATTTATGCATGGAGAGCTCTTTTAGAAGCCAGTGCTATGAGAAATCTTTCAGTTAAAGTAGCAAGAGAAAAATCAAAAAGTAGCATGTGATACTATAGATAATACTTATTATGGTTTATAAATTAATTTTAACAAATACATTATTTTAATGCATACACATTTTCAGATGTATTAAAAAATGTAATGAAACAAAATGTAGCACAAGAAAATGATGGAACAGCATAAAATTCACAAAATCACATAAACATAATGTTTAGGTAGCACAAGTTTATTGAAAGTAGAAAATTTTCAAAAACCTGCATGAAACACTGTTAGACGCACAAATGCCAGACTCTCATGGAACTATAAATCTAGTGACAGAATTATTTTCAGAACATGAAAATATGCTTGCTTCTGCACAATAATAAGCTAGATCAGGCCTGTCCAAAGTACAGCCCGCGGGCCACCTGCAGCCCTTGGTCCATCTTTGTGCGACCCGTAGTGTGTTTTTAATATTATAATGGAAGAATAAATTTTTCCATTTTTTTCAAATTCTGTTGGTAGAAATGATTTTATTTTATATGGTATTACAAATAAATATCTAAAATATTGAATCGTTAAGACACAATAGCACGCCGAATAAATACTAATTCAGAAGTCAAACAACAAAAATCAGCGTTATATTTACAAAATTTTCACAGGACTAGTTTCGATGGTTTTACCGAACCACCATCTTCAGCTGCAAAACCGCAAATGAACCAGATAGGAAATAATCTGCTCCATTTGCGGTTTTGCAGCTGAAGATGGTGGTTCGGTAAAACCATCGAAACTAGTCCTGTGAAAATTTTGTAAATATAACGCTGATTTTTGTTGTTTGACTTCTGAATTAATATTGAATCGTGTTCGTACATACGTATTTGTAAGTCCTGTCCCGACTCGTGTTTAGCGCCTTAATCACGGCCAAGTGCGGTTGTCCGTCTCCGCTCAAGCCCATTGCACAGAATAAAAGAAGTTTCACTGCTTTGATATTTTAAAAAGCTGCCCAATTCGACAGAGAAGGAACGCTGTTGAACATTAAAATTGCACCTTATCGACAATGTGGTTTGAATTCTGGAGTACCGCACTGGAGAAAATTCACTTGCATCTTTATGCCACGTGCTACGGCAGTTATTAGATTGCATATCGGTTCCCCGCTACCCGTCGGGCAAGTTTTTCTGCCAAAATGCTGCACGATCAGGGAGTGAAACAGCACTAGCTGTTGATTGTCATTTGATGCGACGAGTGTTGTGTAGTAACTATTTAGTAATCGTAGTGGTTGTGTGTAATTCAAGCTTACTCCTTCATTTATTTCTTTTGTCAATTTAAATTTGTGATTTAATGGCATAGTAAATAGAACTCTATTGCAAAATAACAAACCTCATTATGTCTGTGAAGAAGTGAAAAATAAGTGATGAAAATCGTGCATTTAATGAAAAACAGGAATTAGACTATCTGATCTGCAACAATAACAATAAAATTCAGTGCATGATTTGTATGCAAGTTTTGTCGGTGAATAAGAAATACAATGTGAAATGCAGGATACTACTTTACATGAAGAAAAGTATAAAAAAATTATCAGTGAAGCAAGAAACATTATTGTAGCTGAGTATAAAAAGAAATTAATACATCAAACAATACACAAACTAATACATGTTT